GGGTGACGTCAAACAGCCAATCATAGCAACCAGGATTAATTTAGGAAAGAGCCGTATTCAGTAAAATCCAGTCTTCGACTGCTAACGAGACTAAGCAAGCACAGAAATATGTTGGTAATCTAGAGCACGGTTTAGTCTTGCGCCCTCAAGATCTTTTCGAACTCCATGATCAACCACGGAAACAATTATTTATGAATATTCACCTTAATTTCGCAAAAATTAGTCAATTTGGCGTAAAACAGGTACTGAAGCAAAGGTATGCGTCATCTCGGACTCAGTGCAAAGTACATAATTCCATTTACTGTCAAGTGACACTTACCTTCGACGGTTTGGTGTTGGTCGTCCATATTTAGCCCTTTGAACTCGGACCTCTCGCCCATCTACTTTGTGGCCATCCATACCCCGTATGGCACAATCTGCCTCACGGTCAGTGCAGTATCTAACGAAGGCGAATCCTCGGCTTTCAAACGTATAGGGATCTCTAGGTATATAGATATCACCTATGATAAGCGTAAACACAGTTTCATAACAGGGCACGCATTACTTACCAACCTCACCGAATCGGCTGAAAACCCTCCTCAGATCATCAATAGTCGTTCTGTATGCCAAGTTGTCAACTTTTAATGACACCATCCCATCAATTCTTGGGGGAGACCGACCGTACCTATTCATAGTTTGGAGCGGAGAAACCGGAAATCAGTGTCTATTGATCCATTAGGTTCAAGAGTAGTTAATTTTTTTTCTAGGACCTGTTGAGAAATATATTCCTTTTGGTTGTACTATGGGTCACACACATTTACCTTCCTTATTCTTTTATCCAAATATTCGTAGACGGAACTGTTGAAGCCGTCGTTCAGTTTACTTCCATTTACAGCTTACTGTGTCTTTAGTTAGGATTGTAAGCTGGGATATGATTATTCACAAAACGGTACTGAGAAACCAACACGATATATGCTCTAAATCATTAATAAGATGTCGAGTTGACGCTATAAATTTTTCTAGCGCCACTTTAGATAGTAGGGCACCCCTAGACTTAGATTACCGCACCCCACATATATTTGAGTTTGTTTACGCTTAATTTTTGCACTCTTATTAACTTATTTAATTGAAACAGTCATTGGAACAACACTAACTTGTCTACATATTTGAAGCTTAATTATTGTCGCACTTGTATGAGCACGTTTGCTCAAGCATCGCTTACACGTTACATACATATTTACTGTAATAGAATTAATGTTGCTCGCTTAAATATTTCGGTAACTCATTCATTTTCGGCTGTGTCATTAAGGCGAACGTCTTAAATGAGTATTCATATAATTTTCCTTTGGTTGTTTGCCTGTCAGTTCACTTTTCTGTTAATCATGTATTGATCCATACAGATTTGAGACATGTTGAATAAGTAAAACTAAGTAGTTTGGATCCATGAGATGAAGTTCACACCAGACCACTGTGTTAAAATCCTGAAATTACTTTATGTCTATATATATATCCGCGTTATTTCTATTGTCGTATAATTTCTGGTAATTCTAGACCCAGTGTGGATACTAATCTAATTCAACAACAAAGAGGTCTCACTCTTGTATCAATCAAATACTAATATTATCTCAGTCCAATCATCCCCATTCAATCTTCTGAACCTAACGCTTCACTCCGCGAAATTGTGTCCAAATTCTTAGTTAGTACTTCTTCGACCACTGAGTTTAAGATAAAAATACAAAAGTATCCCTAAATTCCATCTTATGTTACGGACCTCCAACAACTTAGCATTCGTTTGAAGCTCTATCAGAATTCGATTTAGGTAAGTATCCCAGAGGATGCGCTTGAGTGGTTGGCATACTGCAGATCAATATAAAGTTTGCTCTAATTCACTAGTATTCCTAAAGGTTGAGATCCATTGCTTTTGAGTCCCTAAATTGATCAGGTGGCCGATTATCGGACACGCTACATTGTATCCGTATACCTCCTACTTTTCAGGTGAAAACATTTTGTTTTCATCAGTCAACCAGCTACAACGTAAAACTTCGTACGTGCGTACATCAGCTTACGTTGTCGTAGCACGTTAGCAACGCTTGGTGGGATTGCCAATTCAAATCTCATATTAATACAGGTTGTAAAAGTATTAGAGGTAATGGAGAAGATTAGTGTTTGAAGTTATAGTCTTAGAATTATAATTTGATTTAGACGAATTGAAAAAGATAAAAGGTGATGGGGTATTCAGAAGATTTCGAAGTGAGAGAAGATGAAGAATGGACGCACCATTGCAGACGATTTTGATTCATGCTTCGACAACTTGTTGATAACTGAAGAACGTTTATGTTCTCTTGAGTACGAAACGTTGCTTGTAGATGCAGCTCTTCTGATTCCCATAAACATTTTTGGCGCGATCCAAAATAACTGCTCATTATCTAAGTTGACAGATATTGTGATTGGTAATGGCTTGTGTTGGTAAACCGTTTACTAGGTGAGTGCCAACAAACAATATGGGTTTACTACATGTTGTATAGCTAGAAAACGTCTCTAAGTAGAGTACCTCAGGGAGGTTTTGAGACCATTTTTATTCCTGTGTTATATAAATGACCTTCTTAGTGTCCCGTCACTATTGGATTTGCTGCAAACTGACGAAATCAAGATATGTACAGTTATAAATAATGATGGTGATAATTTATCGCGTAAAAATAATCTAGAACCTTGCACTTACCGATAAATGTTTTAAAGTTGATTGAGATATATGTATCAGGGTACATATAGGTACGTGGTAAGTACCGTTGAGCACTCTCATCAGAAGACACTGATTTAGGAGTTTTTACAGTCAGGATTGAAAACCACTGTATACTGTCGTGTGATGGCTAATAGGCGTCTGGAAAAACTCTATTCAGTGTGTTGAATTTTTGATTCGGTAGACAATACGTTGCTTTTGAATCCGTATGATGTTCACTCGTTATTAACGTGAGTATTTGATACAGATAGCTCGTTCCTTTCCAGTAGAAGTGTAGCCTTTTTGAAAAGGTTCAAGAAGTGCAATTAAATGGGAACAAGACATTCTCTCTCCATTCTTCAAAGGAAGAGGTAAAAAGGATGCAGTCTGTCATAGACCAGTTGCATAACTACCGATGCTATCAAAAGTATTGAAAGGACTGGTGGGTGAGTAAATGAGCGGCTGTATGGATGCAAATAGCACCCTACACGAAACCTTATACGGTTTTAGAAAGGCAGGTCATTCGCATCCAATTTTCTCATAACATGGGACAACTGGACAAGCTTCTGGGGCCAAAATATACCAGCTCATATAATATTCCTTGATTTCGGAAAAGATTTCGATACAACACCTTAATTAATCCTAGCGGCGAAGGTTTTGATGATGAGCTACACTAACTCACTTGGCTCACAAACTACCTTGAGAAAAGAAAGTTCCTCACCAAGGTTAATAGAATACATATTGTAAATGGATTTCTACCGTGGCAGTTCAAATGGTTTCCAATAAGTGCAATCCGAACGCATATCTCCCAGTTCAAAGTCCAGAAAACACAACAATTCTAGGAGAAAACGGTCTATATTAATTAAAAGATGGAAATACAAAGCAGTACCTGGAATTGATGCACTTTCCAGGTCGCAATTACTCCGAAGAGTATCCAAGACAAAGATGAATAAGTGGCGTTAAGTCCAACCGCCACCGTATCAATCCAAATATGGCTGTAGCCATATTAAAGATCAAATTTAAACAACATATATACAGTTCAGAAGCAAACACAAAAACTTCAATATAAGTACAAAATATAGAAATAATAACAATATACAATGATAAAATCTCAAATTGGAATCAAATAAAATACCAAAAATGTCAACAGAAAGAGTCCGTCATGTCATAACAAAAATATATAAACATGGAGGGATTTTCCAAAAGACAAAACATTCAAAAAGGATTCTACACATATCGATAGATTATCAGAGGACCACCTTAAGTTCACTCCTCTTTCTCATATTTATCAATGACTTCTTAGGTAAAAACTTTCTCAGCTGCACTCAACTATGCAGACGACGCAAAGATCTGGAGGTCCGTATGAAGCAAGGAAAATGAATTTGAGCTACAGCAGGACCTTACAGAAATAGAGGAATGGGCTGTGAACATCGGGTTAAAGTTAACTGGTCGACATTTCACGTTACGAACATTCTGCACCGCGTCACGCAAACAACGTTTGTCCTCAGTGGAAGTTCGCTCCCCAGAGAGCGATCTCAGTGTAATAACCACGAAGAGCCGAAACTGCACTGCATAATGCATCGGGGATGCAACTAAGGCTAACGTAACCCTTCCCTTTGTGCGAAGACGACTAGATGCCATACCCCACCATTATTTTTAACTATCTTCAAAACATACTCATGGCCACACCTTGAAGTTCACAACGTCGTCCCACTCCCTTTTCTTTAAGGAGACATAAACCTCCTGGATTCAATTCAGGTAAGAGCAACTAGATAGGTGACTGTGTTGAAGAATAAACCTGATGAAGACATAGTGTAACACGGGATTATTCCGCTGAGTTATAGGAGAATCAGAGGTAATCTGTTAATAGCATACAACATATACAGTATGTACAATTATTCCAAATACTAGCATCTTACCATCGAAAAATTGCTTATCAAACAGCAAACATGAAGGTGCGTATCCACTTTCCCTCATTAAGAGTTTTTCTTACTTGGAATGCCACTTCGGCAGAAGCGAATGCAGTCACCTAAGTGGATATTTTCAGTAGGATACTTGAAAAACAAGTATTCTAACACGGATTATCATCTCCCGCTTGCAAAAGGTGTGCCTGACGAATGTCTTGAAACTTTTTAGCTGTCACCATTGTCATTTCCTCAGATTTATAAGGGATTCCATCTTGCTTATAATCTCTGTTTCATCTTCTTTGCTTACACTTCTGTTCTATTACACAATTTTCAAAACCAGTCAAATAACTTATTGAATTATAAATATAGTACTAAAGATTTCCTATTCTTAATAACATCAAAATTGTCCGTTTATCGATGTGCATTTTGAGGTTAAATGATCTGTGGCCTGATTATGTGATAGCTGCTGGTATCCAGAACCCCTACTGCCATGAGACAAACGAATCACATCAAGCTAGAGGACATAAAACTTCACAAGTAATGGACAGTTAATTAGAAATCGTGCTGTCGAGAGGTTGGGCTATCTCCCATTCGTCATTACCGAATACCTTAAACCGTACTGGAAGAATAAGAATCCAGGGCAATGAAATCAATTGTTAAATATAATGCACGCAAATTGGTGAGTCTCCATATCGGGATTTTCGCAAAGAAACATCTTAAGTCAACTTCTCTTCCTGATATGCATTAAAGACCTGTTAGACACAGTTAGCTCCCCAGCACTGATCTACTGAGATGATGAAAAGATCTGGAGGTCCATTACAAGAGAAAAGGATTCGACAGAGCTTCTAAAGGACCTCACATCCATAGAAGGATGGGCAGTAAACAACGGTTTAAAATCAAACTAGCCGCAATGTCACGTATTGTACATTCTGCTTCACATAACGCGAACGATTAACACACTCAATGGCAGTCCGCTCCTAGTCTGTCCTCAGAGCCCGACCTCGGTTTGATAACCACTGGAAGCCTCCACACCAGCTGGAACTATGAAGGGTATATAGCCAAGGCAAATA